CTCTACATCCTTGATGAATGGGAGTCTCGATCGATTGCCTGCTCTAGTGTCATGTCTCCATTTGAAGTACATTGTCGATTGGGACATCCTTCTCTACCTCTGTTGAAGAATCTCTGCCCTCAATTCCAGAATATTTCATCATTGGAATGTGAGTCATGCCGGTTTGCAAAACATCATCGTCACTCAATTGGTCTAAGGGTTAATAAGTGAGCTGAGTCAGCATTCGAGTTAGTTCATACTGATGTTTGAGGACCATGTCATGTCGTCTCCAAAACTGGGCACAATTATTTTGTCACTTTTGTGGATGACTTCTCTAGAATGACTTGGATTTACTTTATGAAGAGTCGCTCTAAAGTGTTTACTCACTTTGGTGCCTTCTGTGCTGAAATCAAGACTCAATTCAATGCTTCTGTGCGTATTCTGTGGAGTGATAATACTAAAGAATATATGTCAGAATTATTTTGGTCCTACATGAGACAACACGGTATTCTCCATCAGTCTTCATGTGTTAATACACCCTCTCAAAATGGAGTTGTTGAGAGGAAGAATAGACATTTACTTGAGAAAGCTCGGGCCCTCTTATTCCAAATGAAGGTGCCTAAGCAGTTTTGGGCCGATGCAGTCTCAACTGTTTGTTTTATGATTAATCACATGCCATCTACTGTGCTTAATGGTGATATGCCTTATAGTGTTCTTTTCCAAACAAGGCATTATTTCCGGTGAAACCTAAGGTATTTGGAAGCACATGTTATGTTCGAGATGTTCTACCATTTGTTACCAAGTTGGATCCCAAGGCATTGAAGTGTAATTTTCTGGGATATTCTCACCTTCTGAATGGGTATCGGTGCTATTCTACTGAACTTGGCAAATATATGGTATCAAGTGATGCGGTATTTTCAAAGACTACACCATTTTTCTATGCACCTCCCATTTGTACGAGTCAGGAGGAAGGAGATGAATGGTTAGTCTATCAGGTTACCCATTCTGTTTCTCCATCTCCCAGTTCTCCTATTGAACACCAATCGACTATTGTGCCTTTACCACTTCCTCCATCTACGCTATCAAAACCACCAATTGTTCAAGTTTACTAAAGGAGAAGAGATACCGGTGATGCATGTCCTTCACCAATTTCTTCATCATCAGATCCTCATTTGCTTGATCTTTCTGAAAACATTGACCTCCCTATTGATCTTCGTAAAGGTACACGTACTTGCAAATCCACATATACAATTGCTAATTTTGATTCCTATGACAGCTTGTCCTCCACTTCTAGATTTTGATTGCTTCTATAAACTCCATCTCTATACCCAAAACAGTGAAAGAGGCCTTGAGTCATCTGGGATGGTCTAGTGCAATGCTTGAGGAAATACATGCCTTAGAGGAAAACCACACATGGGATTTGGTGGATTTACCCGAAGGGAAGAAATCACTAGGATGTAAGTGGGTCTTTACCGTTAAAGTTAATCCTGATGGTTCTGTGGCAAGACTTGTGGCTAAAGGGTATGCTCAGACTTATGGGGTGGATTATTTAGACACCTTCTCTCCGGTTGCCAAACTCACTTCCGTTCGCTTGTTCATTTCTCTTGCTGCTTCTGAGAATTGGCCTTTACATCAATTGGATATCAAGAATGCATTCCTTCAGGGTGATCTTTAAGAGGAAGTGTATATGGAGCAACCACCTGGTTTTGTTGCTCAGGGGGAGTATAGGAAAGTCTGACATTTGAAGAAGTCTTTGTATGGCTTGAAACAGAGCCCCTGGGCTTGGTTTGGAATGTTTAGTGAGGTGGTTCAAGAGTTTGGCTTGAAAATGAGCAAATGTGATCACTCAGTTTTCTATCAACAATCAACTGCTGGAATTGTCCTCCTTGTTGTATTTGTAGATGACATTGTCATTACAGGAAGTGATTATGCGCTGATCTCATCCCTCAAGTCTTTCCTGCATATGAGATTTCATATGAAGACTTGGGACAGTTAAAATACTTTCTAGGAGTAGAAGTAAATTGAAGCAAGAACGAAATTGTTCTATCCCAAAGAAAGCATATTCTTGACCTACTTGCAGAGACGGGAAAGTTGGCAGCAAAACCCTGCAATACCCCAATGATTTCCAATGCGCATCTTATGAAAGATGATGGTGATCCTTTTGATGATCCAGAGAGATACATGAGGATAGTTGGAAAGTTAAACAACCTTATTGTGACTCATCCAGATATTGCATTTGATGTAAGTATTGTTAGCCAATTCATGTGGACGCACCTACGGTCAAACAATGGGCAGCTTTGGAACAAATTCTATGTTATTTGAAAGGAGCTCCTGGACTCGTCTTATTGTATAATAATCATGGACATAAGATTGGGCTGGATCCAAAATTGATAGAAGGTTTACTACAGGCTATTGTGTATTCGTTGGAGGAAACTTAATATCATGGAGGAGGAAGAAGCAAAATGTTGTATCTCGATCCAGTGCTAAATCTGAGTACACAACTATGTCACAGTTTACATGTGAGATTATATCGGTCAAACAATGGGCAGCTTTGGAACAAATTCTATGTTATTTGAAAGGAGCTCCTGGACTCGTCTTATTGTATAATAATCATGGACATAAGATTGGGCTGGATCCAAAATTGATAGAAGGTCTACTACGGGCTATTGTGTATTCGTTGGAGGAAACTTAATATCATGGAGGAGTAAGAAGCAAAATGTTGTATCTCGATCTAGTGCTGAATCTGAGTACAGAGCTATGTCACAGTCTACATGTGAGATTATGTGGATACACAATCTTTTAACTGAAATTGGATTGAAACATCATACACCGACAAAACTTTGGTGTGATAATCAAGTTGCTCTTCATATTGCCTCGAATCCGGTGTATCATGAAAGAACTAAACATATTGAGGTTGACTATCATTTCATTCGTGAGAAAATTCAGGAAAACTTTATTTCCACCGGCTATGTGAAGACCGGAGAGCAACTAGTTGATTTGTTCACAAAGGCACTAAATAGGGCTAGAGTTAATTATATATGCAACAAGCTGGACATGATCAATATCTATGCTCCAGCTTAAGGGGGGGTGTTACAGAATATTATAGGATATTGTAAAGATATTCTCTTACCTTATATAGCTAGCTAAATCATAGAAAGATGTGTAGGATATTTACTTACCTTTGATAGAACCTCTAGTGATGGTATATATACATGTACTTCTTAACATGGTGAAATACACGTTCTTCTATTCCCATATATCAAATTAACATTTTGGTTCATGCTGTTGTTTATAGTTGATCCCATTCTAATATCAAGAGAGCTACTTACAGTAACTCAAGGAGCTCCTGACAGGCTGCCACACAAGTTATAGTGTTCACATGCCAAGCTGTCTACTTTCTCTTTCTAGAATACCTGAAATCCACATATGAATTCTGTCCAATCTATTATAGGAAAGGATAAATATTAGCTACATATTTTCGACTAAGTCCAGCACCAAGTTAGGAAGCACCTGCAACATCCCACTTCCCTTGTTCTATTGGTATGTAGTGATGCATATTCCTTTTTTCTTCAAGAACAAATGTGCTGTAGAATATCTAGTTGACAACAGGAAAGTGTAGGTGGATAGACATGACTTGACTAAATCTCTTCCTTAGCAATTTGATTATGAGTCCAAGAAAAGGTAGTGCATGTTGTCTTGACTTAAAGTCACCGATATTTTGACAATGAGTTAGAAGGCAAAATCATGTTACTTCAGGTGATATTGTCTAGTCTGGAGATGTTCCCAAGGGATATTTTGCTGTGTATGTTGGAGTGTAGCAGAAGAATAGATTTTTTATCCCAATATATCATTCTTGAGCGAACCTTTATTTCAAGACTTGCTCAGTCAAGTTGAGGAAGAATTTGTCTTTGATCATCCCATGGGTGGTGTCACAATTCCCTGCACTGAGGATTTGTTCATTGATCTCACATCTTGCTTCAGGAACTGAGAAGGAAACCATTCCCCATTTTTGCTCAATTTTTTATAGTTGTAAAGCAGAATCTCCACTGTGCACAGTTCAGAGTTAGAATATACAATAGGTAGAAAATAATGAATGGATGAACCTTATTACTTTTATGGTTCCATTCTAGTCCATATATTGATGTAATGAATTCATTGCAATAGAAAATTTTTGCTCAACTCTCATCGTTTGCCAATCAGAATGAGCTACAATCCAGTCTTCTAATTAAAGTGGCATATATAACCCATTCAATTGATGATATTATGGTCACTGCCATCTTGGTAAAATGATAATTACACCTAGTGGTTTCAAATGGAGTTAGCTGCACTTGGTAGGCTGTGAGGAATAATTAAAGATGAACTAGAGCTGCAGCATTGTGGAAGTACTGAGTGCAAATTATTAACTCCTAATAAGATATACTATCTATGCTTTTCTTGATTAACTCAAATTTATGGCTATAATATGGTTTTGGCTGACTCATAATTTTGTGAAGATTTTGTAAGACAGACACAGTTGATAGTCAATTAATAGTGCAACAAATGCCTCTTCACTAGTGAAATCCTAAATAAGGTAAGCATGTTTTCCCTTATTCTTCTTAAATAAATGGAGACACAGTTTGCATGTATTTTAGTCCTTGAAATCAACATATGGCACTGTTTCATTTTTATGGATTTGATTCCGAGAGATACTTTGTTCCATGTATGAGAAAAAAGTTGAACCTACTGTTCTTGTACTTATATCATCTAAACAATTAACCATGCCAATAAGCTGGAAGACAGGATCACGTGGTAATTGATATGTCATTGTCTTTCACTGATGCGCAACCCAAATGGCTCTTCACCACAAATCGAGGAGATTCCTTGACCTGTTGTATTCTTATATAAACATGTTTGGAGAAGTAGCCACCACCAGCCACTACAACTCTCTCAAAAAACTAGAGAACTACTCAAAAAGTTTCCTGTGCTTTCAGAATATTTAGTAATTCTTCTCTTCATCATGTGCTCATCATAATCAAAAGATCATGGCTATCCGTGTTCCTCGTATAACAAAGAAGTCTTCAACATCCTTGGATGTTCCCAAGGGCCATTTTGCTGTTTATGTTGGGGAGAAGCAGCAGAAGATATTTGTGATACCGATATCATACTTGAGCCTGCCTTCAGTTCAAGACCTGCTAAGTCAAGCAGAGGAAGATTTTGGCTTCAATCATCCGATGGGTGGTATCACAATTCCCTTCCCTGAGGACATCTTCATTAGCATCACTCCTCAATTTAGGATTTAACTATATAGTTGAGATCATTTTTCCTTTTTAGATCTCACAATTTTATAAACCAAAGTAGGAAATTCATCTCGTGCAGTTGGTTAAATAGAAGTTATATGAAGCTTAGCACCAAAGAGATTGGTACTTTATACCAATTTATATATGATTTATTTAGACAACTATGTGTTTTGGGTAATTGGCTGTTGGGTTTTTACTCACCATCTCCATCCACTACCTTTCAAAATAGATGCACTGGAGATTATCTTCTTCTAACATGACCAAATCCATCCATTCTTCTTTCGTCTACTTTGTACCCATTCACAATTACCCTCCCGTTTAGATTTAGAAAAAAATATTATCTATATATCTACACAGTTTTCAACAACACTTGGCGACAAGGTTGATTCCGCCATTATATGTTTGTATACATTCTAAGCTCCCATTTGGTCAGCTTGTGATTTTTGAAACTTGAAGTTGTGTTTGCACACAGTGAATCTATATAAATGCAGCAAGTTGTCATATTCAAAATCATAAGCTTAATGATATATATTTCAAAATACTAACAGCTCAACTAAACAAAGCACCAAAATTACACAAGTAAAAGAATAAGATTAGAGAAAGCTAGGCTATGGTTAAGAGGCTCTTTTTGCAAGTGTTACAAGTAAAACTTGCTGAGCCATATGGACATTGGATATTCCTCAAAGTATTATGATCCACATTATACATAAATAATCCCCTTTTATACCAGTTCACCATCCAGGAAGTGCCAAGGCTTTATTAGCCAAGACATGTGCATAACTACTGTCCAATAATTATATTGAAGAAAACGCATATCGCGCCAAACACCTTGGTTATTAAATACAAGTTTAACCTTGAATTTTTTGGTCCATGACCATGTTTCATAGTCCTCCAAGATCCATACATCCATCATATTCTCAAAGATAATCAATTGGCAGAGAGACAAAGACTCATCCTTCGCCAAAAGAGACATCGTTTGATGTATTTTCCATGAGCTACAACTTCCGGGATGAGGTCTATTGGAGAACTCTTCTTTGTCCATATTAAGAACCATGATTCCTTTAGCACAAGGAGGAATATCCGGTTTCTCTAAATCTCTGGCCACAAGCAAATGCACTGCTCCATTGACAACTTCAGGAGAGACATTCGGCAAAAGATTGGGAATGGGACAATTAATTTTTCTCTTCCATGTTTGTGTCCTGACAGAGTATATGGAATACTAAAACCGATAATCTTTTTCTCGTGCATAAATCAGTTTGAATTGTCTTGTCAATGAATAATAATAAAAGGCACACAATTTGCCAGGGTCGAATTTATGCTGTACAATTACTTTCTCTTGTGTTGTTGGATTGAAAATGGCATAGGTACACGGAGAATACTCAACAGTGAACAGAAGAACACCTTCACAAGAGTATTGAAGACGAGATTTGTTTCTAGCCATATTAATCATATGGTCCCGTTTGAGAAGTACTTTCGTGAACATCTTCTTCTCCTCCTTATTAAGACTTTCATCAAATACATAAAGGTTATGCTCATTATTAGTACCAAAGCGGTCATAGTGTACCATTATAGAGGCCTAGCTCTTTTAAGATGTAAGGTGGAAAAATACCACGATGAGATCAATGTCTTGGACACTCCAACAAGGCAATCTGCGGGAAGTCTACTGAGGATTTCGATGAGTAGACGATCAGGTAAACGTCTAAGAAATGATAATTCTTCATCATTATCATATCTATGACACAAAAGTTGTGTAATTCAACTGAAACATTCAAGTGCCATCAAAGATTAGAAAACAATTTATATGAATCTGCAATAAAAAAAATGTATAAAGGAACTATCATAAAACATAGACAAGATTGAAAAGACAGCGTTAAGGCCCTAAACAAGCCACTTGGCATGCATCCAACACAATATAATAGACAAAAGTAGAAAGTCTCATATTATTTAGGAGTTTGACATAGAAGCGGAAGTCTAACATAGTCTCGACAAGTCAATTTAATACATCAAAAAAAAAGGTCGGAATATAACTCGTACACCACGTACAATGTCTGAAACGAAAACAAAAGAAAAGTAAGTAAAGGTGACATGGTCCTCGGAACATGAGGACTCACAAAATCTTCAAATGTAGCTAATCCGAATCTAGCCAGATGAAGCTCACATAGACAATGTAGGCACTAGTATGCATTAGTACATGAAATGTACTAAGTATGAGGCATATGCATAAACATGAAAACATGATCATAAAGGGACATAATAGGAAAACATGATGTGCATTGACCATGTTGGATCTCTACAAATTTCTTTCATAAGAAATCACAAATTTTGTATGAACCAATCAATTCCCTGATGGATTAATTTATTTTGACTAATATATGCCATGTTAGATATTAGTGAGCTTAGTGCAATATACATCAAAATTTTGACGTAAAATTCCTAAAAATGACAAATCTAGCTCAAGCGGTCGATTTGCTCATGAGATATGTGCGAGAATTAAGTTTGGGATTAAATTTTATACCTTCAACCCTATAAAATATAAATTTAATCATCCCAAACTTAAAAAATCCTGACTATAATCACAAGATAACTTAGTTTGGGAACATAAGATATATCATCACAAAGAAAAAAAATTGTATTCAAACTAATATCAAAACAGTAAATTGAGAGTTAGAGTAATACCGGCAGTCACAGAGAAAAAGTGAAGTAAGAAAAACCTCAACCCTGGAAACATAAACCTAAATTATTTAGGACTCTTGATAACACTAAATAGGATTTGAAGACAATAATTAGTAGGGGAAATTTAATAAAAGTATGGTTATTTAACTTTTATTGCAAAAATATAAATATATAGTCATATTTTTATGGAAAAACTTAAAAAAATAGGAAACAAAATAGGAATAATTAATTCACATATATATATTTAAGACCTTATATTATATCCTATACGTCTACTTATAGGTATTAATAATTTTTAATATAACAAATTAATTATGAGTTATAACAGCTCCAAATTAATTAATATTTAAATTAAATTTTATTTTATTTATTTTAATATTTAATGCATGTAATAAAAGGTAAAAGATTTACGTTTTGAGTGGAGTTACCGGGGAAATCAAGTTACTACCATTTAGGGAGGAGTTACTAGGAAACCAAATTACTACAATTTAGGGAGGAGTTACTCAGGAAACTAAATCACATAATTTCGGAATGAGTTATTGAGGAAATCATATTACACGTTTTTTATTCTTTTCAAAAAGATAAAACTTCAACCATCTCTTGTAATCTAAAACCTCTCTCCATAATCTTCTTTAAAAAAATTCATAATCATCTTCGTTCCCGTGTTTATAGATTTTGATAATATGAAAAGTGACAATATTATCATTCAAATTAATTCTACAAAACAATCCAACAAAAAAGAAAATGCAAGAATATCACATTTCCTCCATCAGACAATTTTGACTTAGATTTTGTATCAGAAACACATCACAAAAGAGGTAAAACAAATTTGTGGAGGTTGAGACGTCAGAAGCAAAAAAAAGTCAAAGCCTAGTGTGGGTGTGAAGAATGATCTGAAGGATTCCAAATCTAAAAAAAGAAAAATTGTTCCATATATATTAAAAGTTCAATTTTATTTTTTTCATATTTTGATGATTTTTAACTTTTTAGAACTTGTGTGTTGTGTTTTATAATTTTATTAGGTGATATATAGTCTAAACATAATCTTTGTTGTATGACTTGTGAATGAATTGGAATATGTTCATTTGTTCGCAAAATAGTTATAAAAATAACATTGATTGGTAGATGTGAATATAAAGTAGGTATTAAAAGTGCATTTTTATTATTATTTTAACAAAGCTAATTTTACACATCATTGTGAATTATTATTGGTGGATGTGAGTATGGAGTAGATATTAAATTCTGTAACGACTCATTTGGTTGTTTTGAGTACTAGAACTTTTTATTTCATAAAATACTTTGTGATAGATTCTAAATGGCTATTTTGGACTATTTGTAACTACAATTATGAAATTAGTGGGATAGTTTTAATAATTAATATAGTAGGTGGTTAAAATAGATAGCATTAAAATTAGTAGTGGGCCACTTTCACCACTCTTATAATTAGTCATATAATAATTAGGGTAAAAATAATCTGTAGAAGAAAAGAAAAGAGCGGAAGAGGAGAATAACAGAAAGCAGCGTGAATGAAAGAAGAACGTGAGCGACTTAGACTTTCGGTAAATCATCCTCCAAAATTTTGTATTAGGAATATTGGTATAAATTATACTATTATTATTATTATTATTATTATTATTATTATTATTATTATTATTATTATTATTATTATTATTATTATTATTATTATTATTATTATTATTATTATTATTATTATTATTATTATTATTATTATTATTATTATTATTATTATTATTATTATTATTATTATTATTATTATTATTATTATTATTATTATTATTATTATTATTATTATTATTATTATTATTATTATTATTATTATTATTATTATTATTATTATTATTATTATTATTATTATTATTATTATTATTATTATTATTATTATTATTATTATTATTATTATTATTATTATTATTATTATTATTATTATTATTATTATTATTATTATTATTATTATTATTATTATTATTATTATTATTATTATTATTATTATTATTATTATTATTATTATTATTATTATTATTATTATTATTATTATTATTATTATTATTATTATTATTATTATTATTATTATTATTATTATTATTATTATTATTATTATTATTATTATTATTATTATTATTATTATTATTATTATTATTATTATTATTATTATTATTATTATTATTATTATTATTATTATTATTATTATTATTATTATTATTATTATTATTATTATTATTATTATTATTATTATTATTATTATTATTATTATTATTATTATTATTATTATTATTATTATTATTATTATTATTATTATTATTATTATTATT